TGATTTTCCCTCTTCCAGCCACTCTCAGTTGAAAATTACTCTTGTTGTACCCACTTTCCTTTCTCCAGCTAGAATTTTGTCCAACTTGAACGAAAGAAGATCTTGGGCATGCTGTCTAAAGTTCTTGGCCTCATTAACTGTGAGTGTCAGGTATGGGTTTCATCTCATGGAGCAGGCCTTTAAATCCAAGCAAAACGTTGTTCGTTACTCCCAAAATATCTCTGCCACTACAGTACCAGTAGGTGTGTCATGCACGTAGGAAACCATTGTAGTTCTCAGGGTTCCTAACTGGATGAGACTGATGATGATTATTTTTCCTCTTCCTGTAGCATGCAATGTACCTTCCAGCACTAGGAATGCTGGTCAGTGGGGCCCAAGTTGAGCACTGGTTCTGTTTCTCCTTGTTTGATGACATAAGTGTGTGGTGTTTTCAGCAACTGGGCTTTACCATCAGGTGGTGGAGGCTAACTGATAGCATTGGCAGTCGTCTGTTCTATGTGGAGGGGCAGGAGAGAGCTATAGGATCCCTTTGGCCAATAACTCAAAAAGATGTAGTCCATTCCTGGTGCCGGGGATTTTACTTGATAGCATATGATGTCTAGTTGGGCCATTGCCTTTGACATTTTATTGTGACTCCATTTAAGTTCCTTTAATGTACACACACACACACACACACATACACAGAGAGAGAGAGAGAGACAAAGAGAGAGAGAGAGGGAGAGGGAGAGAGAGAGGGAGGGAGAGAAAGGGAGAGAGAGAGGGAGAGAGGGGGAGTTTTAGGAAGCTTCTACAGTAGTAGGTTTTAATAAAGCTTTTCAAAAAGCCTTTAGTGTTAGCTACCCCTCCCTATATTCCCTTCTCTGTCCTAGCTTCCTACCCCTTTCCCCATTTTATCTCTTCATAGCATTATATTTTATTTCCTCTTTCTCAGAAGATTACCTTCTCCTTCCTGGTTCTTTACAATATACCTGTCCTCTGGGTATTCTGAATGAAATACACATTTGATTATTAAATATTTGTCTTGACATTACATTAACAATTTCATCAGTGTCATTCTCAACAAGGATTGATAAAATCTGACTGATGAGATAATTACACTTTCTTTTAAAAAGATATTTAAGCAAACATAACCATTAACATTTTTACATTATCTACTTAAATGGCCACAGTGGTAATTGATTACAATTTGGGATTCACAGACTAGTAAGTAAAACACAGACCATGAAACTCTGCTATTCCATACATGTATGACTTTGAACTAGTGGTTAGTTTATCTTTCTCAGCTATAATTTCCTCACCTGAGAGAGATCGATTGTAAGATAAAGCGCAGGGACAAATAGTCAAACTAGCAGAAACACAAGAATTGTAAACCAATAGCTGAGGAACCCCCATGGAACTGGACCAGGCCCTCTGAATAAAGATAATTATGAGACAGTTGATGAGCTTGAACTGTTTGGGAGGCCCCCAGGCAGTGGGACTGGGACATGTCCTTGATGTATGAGCTGGCTTTTTGGAACCTAGGGCCTATGCTGGGACACTTAGCTCAGCCTTGATGCAGGGAGGAGGAGACTGGACCTGCCTCAACTGAATCTACCAGGCTGGGCTGACTCCCCAGGGGAGATCTTGCTTTGGAGGAGGTGGAAATTGGGGGGGGGCGGAGATTAGGGGGGAAGACTGGGGGGTCTGAGGAGGGAGGACAGGGGAATCTGTGGCTGATCATTTTATACAGTAAAAATTATAAATTAATTATAAAATAAAAATACTAAGAAAAAAAAGATATCAGATAATAGCAAGATTTTGTCAGTGTTGTTCCTAAGTTTAAATGTGAAGATGTAGCCGAGCGACCAGAGTGCTTGACAGACAGCAAGTACCCAACAAACAGTAGGCCCTTCCTTCTTGACATGTATGTGGAAGGATGAGGCATAGAATCCTGGAAATACATCCAAGTCAGGGGGCAGTGATGTGTCATTATGATTTTTCCAAGTGATAGCGGTGCCTATGAGAAGGCAGAAATGGGAAAGGCTGTGGTATGAATAAAGGCAGGCAGCAACACCAGGTAGGTAGAGAGCCATCGTCTCTCTGTCTCTCCAGCTCTCTTGACCACAGCTCCTTTATGGTCTACATACCAGCAGCATGGACACAACCAATGACCATATGAGTATATGGCATCTCTGCCTTCTCCCCACGCTTCCTCCATCAGAGCTGTCTTTTACCCTCATACGCAGGTGATCTGTGGCCACGAGAAGCACTACTCTAGGGCCTGATCCCCATCTTTCTTTTTAGGAGGTGCTGATGCTGGATCTAGATGCATCCCATACAGGGGCAGCATCCAGATCATCTTTAAAAGGCAGAGTCACAGGCAGCTACTAACTGGGAGCCTGAGGGCTGTGTTTTTAGGAGAGTTCCACAAGGGGGTCAGAACAATTATTTGGGAGCTGCCACAGGAGGCTGAAAACGGAGGTGGAGCGCTTATATTCATTTGTTCTTCAAAGGTTGTGCTTATCAAGGACCAGCGTCTCAGGATAGCGAAGGAGCCCTGACTCTAGCCTTAGGCAATAAGGGGATGATCTGGGTTCAACCTCTGTGTACTGGAAATATCTCATCAATGTCAATGTCCGTTTTTTAAAAAAATAGATGTTTTGCATTTGATTTTTAACGTTTTTTGTTTGTTTGTTTTTCAGCCGTGCTATCAAGACGAATCAGGACCTGCTCCCAGAAACCCCATGGACACACATTTTCTACAATGATTTCTGGGGGACTCTTCTGACTCACAGTGGCAGCCACAAGTCCTACCGGCCGCTCTGCACTCTTTCCTTTCGACTGAACCATGCCATCGGAGGACTGAATCCCTGGAGCTACCATCTCGTCAACGTCCTGTTGCATGCGGCTGTCACCGGGCTCTTCACACGCTTCTCCAAGGTCCTTCTCGGGGATGGATACTGGACGTTCATGGCCGGCTTGATGTTCGCTTCTCATCCCATTCATACGGAGGCGGTGGCGGGCATCGTGGGCCGGGCGGATGTGGGCGCCAGTCTGTTTTTCCTCCTTTCCTTGCTCTGCTACGTTAAGCACTGTTCTACAAGAGGCTACTCGGCCAGGACTTGGGGCTGGTTCCTGGGGACCGGACTGTGCGCAGGATGCAGTATGTTGTGGAAGGAACAGGGGGTGACTGTCCTGGCGGTGTCGGCCGTTTACGACGTCTTTGTCTTCCACCGGCTGAAAATGAAGCAGATCTTACCGACCATTTACAAAGTAAGTGATTGTTGCCTCTCTGGAGCATCATCGCCTTACTGACTCATGCACAGGCTTGGTCCTTTGCCACCGCTTAAGAAAGCAGATGTGTTCTTCTGCAAGCAGAGTTTCAAATGAGGCCCTTTTGAGCTTTGCTTCAGTAGCGTGCCGCTTTGACCTTCCTCTAACCAAGCAAGGTTTCCAGCACTGCGTGTTTTATTCCCCAGGTTTCTGAACGTCTTTCCACAATGTCTAAGGTGGCCGGAGAATAGTTTTTGCCTTGTAAAGTGTATTCAGTTCACTTTTTTTTTTTTTTTTTGCCGAGTTCAATATAATCCAGTAATTGCCTGTGATGTGGATTTGTAAAAAGAACACAGCTGATGATGGAGCTAGATGCTGGATTCCATGGAGGGGAAACCCTGTGTTTTTCTGCTAATCTGAGACTGTGCCTGAGTTTTGAAAACATCCCTCTTCGCAGGGCACTGGGAAGTCGGATACTAAAACAGTGACTCATGTTCACCTTTTCTTTGTTTTCGGTAGATAAGAATAGACGAGGCAAAGCGCAGTGCGGTTATTATAAGTTTTACCTTGAGGCCAATTAAGACCTTTGCGTCCGGCCTTAATGTTTGTGTATTCCCTTAGTGATTTCAAATATAATGTTGTTCCAAAGGTTATGGAAGGATTTTGGGGATCCCCTTATTCTTAAAGAGACAGATCTTTTTTTTTTTTTCTTGCTGGTGGAGCTTGGTTACTTGACTCTGGGTAAACAGGAACATAAATACATGGACACAGCAAGGATTCACTGTAGGTAATTTACCATTTATTTAAGCCGAGTGAATTCACCTAGGAATGAAATGGATGTCCTAGTTTATTTTTATACAAAGTGTTAAGTCTCAGGCTAAATATCAGACATGATAGAGCACAGAACATCTTCAGAGTTTTTCAGATTTAATCGACAAGTTGAGTTTATTGTCACCGTAAAGATCGCAATATAAATACTTAGCACACAACGACAGAAATATATTCAAGGCTACTTTAAGAATTGTTATAGACTCTTCTAATACCATGCCAAAATTATTGTCACAATTTTTTAAAATGAAATTTAACCTAGACAACACTTTTTTGTTGTTGTTGTTTTGTTTTGTTTTTTGCTTTTCAAGACAAGGTTTCTCTGTGTAACAGCCCTGGCTGTCCTGAGACTCCCTTTGTAGACCAGGTTAGCCTCCACAGAGATATGCCTGCTTCTGCCTCCCGAGTATGAGTGATGGAATTAAAGGTGTAAGCCACTACTGCTGCCCAGCCAGACAACAGATCTTTTAAAATCAAACATTCTAACACAGTCTGGTCCAGAGGCATACTCAGGTGGTATCAGTGTGCTGAGTAATGACTGTAGGGAAATTATAGCAGTTGCTATTTTGTAATAAAACTTATAGTTTTGAAAGAGCATTAAAACTTTGGAGGTACAGTGGACACACTGCAGTTATATACAATGGTCTCAAATTTGAGCTGGGATGTATTGGGTGGTGTTAGTTTGCATAGTATGAAGCATGTACGTTGTGGACTGAGAACAAGGCTCGGGTGAAATCACAAGGTGCAATACTGGTGATGTAACACAGGCCAGTGAGATCAGAAACACCTGTTTTTCTGTATATAAAGTGGAAGACACTTTTGACCACTATGCATTTGGAGACTTTCACCTCCTGCCAAGCTCCTAGCAACCCTCACATTGAAGGTCAAGGCTCACAGTTCAAGAAATTTCCCATAAAGGGTAGCTTTTGGGGGCGGGGGTGGGGCTTTGAGAAACTTCCTTCCTATCTCTTCACCCTCCTTCATTTGGAACTCACCTTTGGTTTGATTGTAAACAGAAAGTTTAAAAACTACCCTGCTATGGTGTAGAATGGTCACCTCTTCCAGGCAGGCTCCCCACATCTCGTTTAGACATGAGAGAAGACATTTACAAAATTGATTGATTGAGATGAGAGACTTTTTGTATTGCCCAGCCAGGCTTTAAGTGGGCTCATCTCACCCCAGCCTCCTGAGTAGCCAGGACTAAAAGACTACTCCACCACCCTCAACAAGCAGTAGACTATGGTTTTAGATACTCACTTATGAAGAAGCTGACAGATTTTTCTATTTTTTCTCTCTGAAGTTGAAGTCCCCTTTTGCTTAAAATTGAATTGCATGAGAAACATGGATGGGAGAAAATTCAAAGCATTTATTTATTATTACTATTACTTACGATTTTAATTGTATTTATGTATATGTTCGTATCTGTGTGGGTACCCATGCCTGTGACTTTGCAGAGGCCCATGCAGAGTGTAGGGTCCCCCTGGAGCTGGAGTTACAGCATAACTCTGACCTGAATGCCAGTCCTCAAGGTTGAGCAGCAGGTGCATTTAACCACTGAGGCATCTCCTCAGCCCTATTCGTATTAATTGTCAGAGGGGGACCATGGCCTTTTCACTTAGAGCTCAAGGATTCAGGCTTCTTGAAGTTCTTTTGTGATTTCAATTCAGTGTTGTCACTTTAAGGAAAACTCTGCCTAGAGTTTGATGCTGGAAAACAACATATGGCTTACAAGTGGAGCTCTCCATTTCAAATCCCTTTGAATTCTTATAGCAAGGCAGAGACTAATTTTTTTTCTAATATGATGTCATCAGCAATAACAAACCTTCTTGTTCCACTGGATTTGAAAAAGAACAAGGATATTTCCTGGCCCTAGGCTTTACGGAGATGGGTGTCTCTTTGAGGACAGAGGCGCTTTATGGAGATGGGTGTCTCTTTGAGGACAGAGGCGCTGCAGCCTTGTGGTTGGTGGTCCTGTTGGTGGCCTGTGCAGCACCTTGGTTCCTTATGCGGAATTTCCAATTCACTAGCTCATTATTTTGATATGTTAATGTTGGACTTGCTTTTTTTGTTTGTTTGTTTGTTTTGTTTTTTTGAGATAGGGTTTCTCTGTGTAGTTTTGGTGCCTGTCCTGGAACTCACTCTGTAGACTAGGCTGGCCTCTGCCTCCCAAGTGCTGTGATTAAAGGCATGCCCCACCACCCGCTGGTCCCAGGACTTGCTTTTAGGACCTTTAAAGTCGTCTTTGGAGAAAACTTCAGTTTTCCTAGCATATTTTCAAAGGTCCAGTTCTTTACCAGGAAGCTCCTTACCTTAAGAATATTCCAGACAATAGTTGTGACATACATAAACAATTATTTATGTGACTTTAGAATTCATCTGCGCTTTCTGTATGTCTTCTGGCAGCCTCACATCATGCACCTCCTGCTTATGAGATATGAAATGCCTGTAACGGAGACACTCCTTAGAGAGTGAGGCCCCATTTCTAGGAAAAGGACTTCCTACTTTTGATGGTTCAGTGTCCTGGCTTGTTTTGAAATGCATACTGTGGACCCCCCAAATGCAGCTCCCACCTCAAAGGGAATGAGGAGATAGTTGAACACAGATTTAAGTTGCCCCAGATTCAGTGTTTCAATGTGGAAGGAGTTTCATGAAGTTTTTACATTAACAAAACAAAGAAAACCATAAATCAAGAAGCTTTATTGACAGACCGATGGAAACACTAGAGATGGGTTACAGCAAGATAGGAGAATCTCTCCTGTAGGCTTTTGATATTGTCTGATGACATGTTTAGCTTTTGGGTTGGTGGGAGCTATTGGTATGTTAAGTTAATAGAGTCCAAAATAGTTTTTTTTTTTTTTAATCAATTAGACAGATGATGTTAATTCCTATCCAGAGGTAGTTTGTCCAGGAGGCTAAAGCTAGCCAGAGATAAGGTAATTGGCATCTGAACCCACAACTCCACCTCACTGTGGTCTTTTGGTCAGTCAGTGTTTGTAGGCACAGTTCTTTCCAGGACTCTTCTTTGGCAATGCTTACTGGGACTGTGCTTGGCCTTTGCTTCCAGGCCAGGCACCAGCTGTGGGAGTGACGGAGGTAGAAAAACCCTTTATCCGATTAGAGTTACTGTTTTCAATTCTTTCTGTTTAAGCTTTTTCTGTCATTCTTAGCTTTGGAGTCAGTGTCCCTAATGTGGACCTTGGGATACTAGATTCTTTATATTTACAAGGAAGAACAGAGATGATTTTACCATGCCCCCTGTATTTTCAGTGGAGGTGAAGGTCACTGCTAATCCCAAAGATGGGAGGTGAAAAGCCACCAACCCAAATCATAATGGCCAAAATGATCAAAGCAAGCCATTAATTAAAGTAAGCCTCGTGCACATGGCTGCCTCTCCTTAAGATGGAAGTTCAAGAAGTCAGCATATAAGGCAGACAAGGCTCTTATAACTCAGGGGTAGGGGGGATTCCAAATGGGGGATTTGGTGCGCAAAAATAGATGGGCTTACAGGAGCAGAAAATAAGGGCAAGTTACCCTACAGGGGCCCCTGAAACAAGACATGGGTGGAAGGTTGGCATAACAAGCTAGTCATAGCAAGGTATTCATAGGTGGTCATATAACCCTTTGGAACACAGGTAGGTTGTAGATGTAACCAACCATCTTATTAAATAAGAAACACAGAACCAATGTAAAAGAGAAAGCTGAGAGGTCAGAGCTCAGAGCTAAAATCTTACTCTTCCTCCTGCGGTGTTCCTAGCTTCCCGAAAGAGAGCTATTTCCTGTGTGTATGTCTTTAAATAGTCTTTCTGTTCTGCCTTTTCATTGGTTGTAAACCCAAACACATGACTGCCTCGTCACTGCCTATAAGTATAGCCCTCCAGGTCTTAAAGGTGTGTGTCTCCAATGCTGGCTGTATCCCTGAACACAAGGAGATCTATGGGATTAAAGGCGTGTGCCACCACCGCCATGCTCTTTCTATGGCTCTAATAGCTCTGACCTCCGGGCAACTTTATTTATTAACATACAATTAAAATCACCTTTCAGTACAAATAAAATACCACCATAGTAGGGTTGCAAGATAGTCATAAACAACTTTTTGAAACAAAGACACCACGATTGCCATTCCTGGAACAGTCAGTACAGAACCACTTGTATTTAAGGTTATACAGGTGGAG